CCCATAGCGACCCTGTACAGGGTTTCCGAGGGTGTAAATCTTTACGGGAGTAGAAAGCCTCATCTTTCTCCCGCGGAGCGGCGGGTAGTTTCGAATCGCTGATCTTCCGCAATATCCAATACTGAAAGCACCTTTGGTCATCGTGGTCCGTGATGTGCTTCCTGCTACACCCCAGCAATGTTAGACAGCGAGGCTCAGAGAGAGCCTACAGAGAGGTCACATGATTAGCAATTCACACAGCTGGGATCTCTCCCCAACAGTTCTTACCCAGAGTCAATCCTGTAGAGATCGTTGTTGCTATTCCTGGGAACAAAGGGAGAGAAAATGTCATCATCAATACGAGGCAGTCTTCTGGTTTGCCATAAGAGGACGTTTCTAGTAAGTCTAAGATGTACGACAATTACCGCCCCTCATGGTAAGCAGTACAAACATTCCCCTGTAACACTGGCTTTCATATCATATACCATATATAATTTAACTAGCAAGGATTTATAAAATGCAATAACTACTGCCCGTGATGGCCAGCTTGGTGGCAGTTAGCACACTAGTCTTTAACACAATGAAGCCAGGAGCAAAGGAGAAAAGGAAGCTGCTCCCACAAAGCACAGGAACCGAGCACTGTCTCCAGGAATGGACAGACAGGCCTGCGGGCATCTACCCTGTGGTGCCCGGATCAGAGAGGCTCAGGAAGGCACTGCCATCAAAGCTGTGAGGTCAAGGTAGTAACAAAGACCAGCTACAGAATCCAAAGTAAATAAGGAAGCAAATTTGTCTATTACAGTGCAATGTTATTTAACAAAATGTCTGTGGGTATTGAAAACAAACAAAAATGGTCTTATTACTGGACATGCCTTCAAGGTCCTTTACCCTTTGAAACAATTGTTTAGTAACAAACTAAAGAAATAAAACCAGTTCTTAGGGGTGTATTCTCATGTTACAGCAAAGTAGGATGTTGATTTGCCCCTTACATATTAAATGATTAGTTACTGTCTAAACTGGGAGCTTGACAAGGACCCCTCCTTATTTACAACACACTGTAGGTTGGCGGCTATCCATGTGTATGGGTGCTCTTTTGAAAGCCTTCCTTACTCTAGATGAGATCAGAGCCTAGAACTGGCCTTATCCCTGGACCTTCATTCCAAGCCCTGTACTTCTTTCTGTCTTACCGATTTTAGGTCTATCCCTCCTGATTCTTTACAGTGACAGGTCTGGACTTGTAAAAGAATACACATTCCAAGCCTAGCGCATTTTCCTCCTTACCTGTGTTCGTCCCTCCTAGGGTGAAGCCAGTGGCAGGTTTAGATGCAAACAGTCCAGTTCCAAAGCCACCGGAAGGAGCAGATGTCGTTGAGGGAGGTGCTGAGCTTCCAAGTGTTCCAAAATTGAGTCCCACAGAAGGGTTACTTGTTCATAAAACACAAACACACAAAACGTCTATTAGGGCCATTTTTACTTAACAAAAAGGAAAATGAACTCTTTGGCACGAATTCTTCTCCTTTACAAATATATCTAATATTTCTCCACCGGATCCAAAATGAACAAACAATAAATTTACCTTTAACCATCCCAGTCTAAATTGTTTTCTATTCTCCTTTACAAGAAATATGCACCTAAAGTTATTATTTTTTAAATTTTTATTGAGTGAAGGTTTACAACACAGCAGTTTAGGTTCCCATTCAACAGTTTCTACACAAGTCGTTACATTACACTGGTTTACATTCTTCACGACACATCAACAGTCTCATGACTTAAGTTCTGGTTACTTACCTTCCATTAATCTACTTTCCCTGCAGATTCAAATCCAGCAGGCACTTCTCAAACACCTAGTACAGGGTTGCTATGACTAGGAACCAACTCGATGGCACGAACAACAACACAGACTCCCCTTTGTTTTACAGTACTTGTTGACCATTTAGAGACAATTTTGAAAGAAACATAAAATTATTCTCAAAAAATAAAGTATCAATCTTCATGAAAAGACTAGTCTACAGCAACCAGGCCTAAACGTGACTAGAGGAACACAGGAACATGCATGTTGTTGCCGTTCAGTACCATTGAGTCAGTTTTGACTCATAGCGACCCCATCTAGGGTTTCCAAGGAGCAGCTTGGTGGGTTTGCACCAACGACCTTTGGTTCAAACCAACCTTGCGGTCCAGTGCATTATCCCGCAGTGCCACACCAGGACTCCAAAAGCCTACAGCACCGGGTACTCCTAGGCAGTCTCCCATCCACGTACTAACCAGGCCCGGCCCTGCTTAGCTTCCGAGATCAGATGAGATCAGGTGCCCTCATCGGTTACGCTGTTGTTGTTAAGTGTCATTGAGGCGGCTCCCACTCACAGCAACCCTGTATAGGGTTTCCGAGGAGCGGCTGGTGACTTTGAACTGCTGACCTTGCGGTTCAAACCAACCTTGTGGTTCAGTGCATTAGCCCACAGCGCCACACCAGGACAGGATGGCATAAGGGCCACAAAACCTCTGCTTTCACTAGTTTGTTTCTGTGATTGAAAACTAGCATATGTGGCGCTGGGGTTAATGCACTGGACTGCAAAGTCAGTTTGAACCACAAGATTGGTGGTTCAAGCTCACCAGCTGCTCCTTGGAAAGCCTCCTATACAGGGTCGCTATGGGTGGGAACTGACTCAATGGCACTTAACAACAATAAGGAAATTTTAGAGTCCTGGTGTGGCGCTGTAGGATAAGCAAGACTGACGGTTCAAACTCACCAGCTGCTCCTTGGGAACCGTATACAGAGTCATTATGGGTCGGAACTGACAGGACAGCACTTCACAACATCTGACTAGAGATTACTTTCCTTTTGAATTATTTATGCAGCTTCTAAATTCACTTGCTCTCCCCCAACTACCAATATTAAGAAAAGTAAAACACATGCAGAAATAGAAACTCCTACTCTGCCTTTCCTTCCTCTCTTTCGCACATTACCATACCATCTTCACGAAGGGAGGGCTATGGTTCGGGATCTGGTCACCGAAAAAAGCAGTAAGGAATTGTGGCTAGAGTGGGGGGCACAGCCTGAAGAATGAGCCACAAAGTCACATGACCTTCTATCAGAGCCCATGTCTGTCAGCAGAAAGCAGCTGAAATAGACATGTGACTCTGGAAACTAAGAACTTGTCAGTTGTTCTTACCAAGCTTCAGTGGTTGACATTTGAAAGGACAAAGCATGACACCATCCTGACAACCTGAGCAAATGGGCCAACATATGCGACATAGTGGGAAGCCCCCTATACTACAGACGAGGGGGGGTCTCAGAAAGCTCGTGGGACACTCCCTTTATCTTTAGAGGCCATTTTCCCCCCAACTTTTTGGAGTCCCCTCAGATATATCTTTTATTATATCCCTCCCTACCACCCATCATCTCGTTAACCAGACTTCAGTTTTAAAAGGTTCCCAAGTGCCAAGGTTTCACTGTGAGAGGGAAGTGACGACATTGAGGCTGGATTCCAATTCCAGCTCCACCACTGCTGTGTAAAAGGCAAAATGGGATTACCAGGACCAACACGGCCGGATTTGTATATAGGGTACATTAGCTTCAACAGGAGTAACAATGTTGTTACTGTAGCTAACCTTGGGACTACACACAAATGCAACTGCACTGGTTTTGTAGGAGGCATCATGCCAGGAGTAGCAGGGGGCTCACAAAGGAGTATCCAAAGAGCATGTTGTTTAAACAGAGGGAAGACAGCCTGAGTCACTGTAATCCAGAGCAGAGTAAATCTCCAAATTACTCACAACCTTTAAGCAACACCAAAACCAAACCTACTGCCACCGAGTTGATTTCGAGTCCAACAGCTCCCTAGGGTTCCCTAGACTGTCAATCTTTAAGGGAGCAGACGGCCACATCTTTCATCAGTAGAGTGGGTTTGAACTGCTGAATTAGCAGTCTAACGTTGAACTCACTGTGCCACGAAGGCTGCAATTTACACCCAGACCACAGCAATCCCACACCCTGCCTTGGGAGTCACTCAGGTCTGGCATATGTTGGGGCGTAGGGGGTCAGTGGTGCTATGATCCTTCTCCCACAAGCTTATAATGACTCTATATAGATCACTGGCAAACAATCGCAGTTTGAGGTAAGAGCTGAGGTCTGTGAGGGCGGAGCTTACTAAGGAGGAGGGGCTTGAGATGGGTCACCCCCACTGCTGTGTCTCAGTTTACTCCCACATAAAGTACTACCCTTAAAGGACACAAGTGTGTGCCCTGGGTGTATGGGGGGCTGAGTGAAAGGGCTCATCAACATTTCAGGCACAAACTATGTACTTAACTAACTCAACAACTTAAAAGGTTTTCCAAGAAACATCAGCACATTTCAAAGACACTGTAAAAGAAAAATAGTTATGATGTGCCCCTTGTTGTTGTTAAGTTCCATCAAATAAAGGTCAAGCACACAGCAACCCTGTATAGAGTTTCCAAGGAGTGGATGGTGGGCTTGAACCACTGACCTCGTGATTAGTGGTCCAGTGTTTATCCTACAGCACCACATCAGGACTCCGTACTCCCAAACAAATCACGGACCCCTATTTGTACATCATAGACATACAAAAGCCGTACAGTGAAAGGGATGTATTTTTAGTCAATGAATTCAATTTTAAAAAATATTTTGATAACTGAATACATTGTGAGATGTTTCATCAATGAAATTGAAAACATTACAAACAACAGATAATATACAGCAATGAGAAAATCTTTGCTCCTACCAGAGGAGCAAAACAAGAAATTCCTCTGGCCATGAAATGTACTCATGTTAAACCTGGGAGACAAAAGTTAACACTGCACCTAGTAATGACTGTCTCAGTCCAGGATGGTCTGTAGGTCTCCTGTGCAAAAGCAGAGTTGACTCCACCTGTCAGTGCCCTGGAGGCACAGTGGTAAGAAACTTAGCTGCTAACAAAAGACCAGTCAGCAGTTCAAACCCACTGGCCACACTGTGGGAGAAAAATGTGGTCATCTGCTTCGACAGTCAAGCGTTGGGAAGGCTGTGAGCAGCTCTCCTCTGTCCGAGAGAGTTGCTCTGGTTGGAACTGACTCGACGGCAGTGGATCTGGGTTTGGCCTGCCTAACTGGGCACTTAGAAGCAAACATAAAAGCTACGTCTGTTGTAACCATGGCAATGAAACAATATACGATAGGATGAATGTAAAGCTAATGTACTCCCATGTGAACTATCACATAATTCACAATAAAACATTAAAAAAAAAAAAAA